ACCTTTATGTCTGACAGTTAATATTGAGTTTTATTACATAAAGACAGCCAGGCTCGGTAATTCACTCAAAAATTCGTACTGAAGTGATCAGTTTATGAAAATTATCTTCCTGCCATTCAATGGAATTAATTGCTAATGCAAAAAAAAGGGTGTAATGAGTCACAAAACCATATAAAGAAGTCGTGTGAATAATGTATTTTTACTCTATTTTGCTAAGTTAAGAAAAACTCAAGTGATCTGATCTTACTTATTCCTTTGAGAAATGTAGGCCTGCAATCATTACCTATGTTTTAGAATGCCTTATTGAAAAATAAACAATCAGTTGAGCAAATAATCTGCCATTATTTGACAGATCATTAGGCTGTTATGTGAAAAAGAGGATTACTCATGAGAAAAATCGGAGTCCAAGAGAAGCTGTAGCTAGAGATGGGATTAAGCAACATGTCTTATTATTTAAACATGGTGGTAGAGGCTGAGGATAGACGAGGACCGTTGATAATAACGTTTGTACACAAATTGGCTTAGATCATGTCTTGCCATTGAAGATGAGTCAATCTGAACCTTAAAGCTGATTGACACTGAATAGACCATGTCTCTGCAGGTCAGATTTGTGCTGCGATGCTCTGTTCTTTTACAGTGGGTACTGCTGTCACTCGCCTGTGTGAATTTCATGAAGACAAAGTGGGCTTGGTTTCCCTCTAGGCCCTATTGCTCTGTCTTCAGTTGCAGAAAGTGTCTCTTTCTTGAGTTAGGTGACACGGAGTCGAGTTGTAGAAAAGCGAGGCAGATAGGATTTGATGAATTTACATAGGAACCTCGCGTTATTATTTGTAAAGATGTGGGGAAGCGTGCGTGAGAGAATTGTTTGGGTGGGTAAGAAGATGGGTTTGGGACCTTATTTGGAAAAGGTGGGGGTGTAAGGGAGGAGAAATGTGGGGGGGAGCGCGGGTGGAGGGAACAGTTCCTACTGTGGGAAAGCAGGATGAAGGGAAAACAAGCTTGAAGCTGAGCAAGTCCAAACTGTGTTCGAAGAGGAGATGCCTCATTCTTTTTTTGGTCCCCCATTATCTGAAGTCAGGGCTGGGAAAACTGTTTCTTGAGGTGACCCCCACTCATACTGTCTTAGTCCTTCCTTTGGCTAATTCTGTAGAAATATCTAGTGGGTATTTCATTTCCTCAGGCTTCTTGGTGAGGTGAGTGTTGCAGCTCTTTATTACCTAGCAAAAAAGCCTCCCTTGGGTGCAGCACAGTCACTTGCTCAGCATTCAATAAGAACCCTCCAGTTTCCTCAAATAAAGGAGATAGGTGAAAAAGATACGCCGATTTTAGATTGAGTGAAGCTCCTCTAAGCTGAATCTGAAAGCCATAACTAACTGCAAATGACAGAAAAAAAGGCAATTGTGCTCTCTGGAGATAAGGGCAACTGATAGGTGGAGCAGCAGAAAAAACCCTATTAAAATGAGCGCATTGGAAGGAATAAGATCAACTGCGATAATGTTTTCTGTGTCGCCAACCTGCTATTGCAGCTTGAACTGTTCCCATTACAGCAAAACATTATTGAAAGGACTTAAATAGCTCGCCTGGCAGAGCAGCACATAGTAGTATCACTGTAATTAAGCTTCCACCAGAATTTCTATGATAAACATATCTTCAGGGTCCTATAACCCAGCTTTCAAATCTTTATTTGGTGCTTGCAATACACTCTGCTGTGTTTTAACATTTGTCCGAAGATTATAATGTGAAAGCGTGCTCTCATGGTGGTGGAGCCTGGTTCAGATCAGAGGCGCTTAGAGCAGTATGTGTGTTCCAGAGTCCTCTGGACAGCGTTGGCTCTTTGGGGACTGTCCTGCCTGCGGGGGAACGGGCAGCTGAGCACGTGGGTACAGTGAAATCACAGCGCTTGTGTTCAGTAGAGCCTCATCCCTGCAGGGTTAGGTAGTTGTGCAGTGCTCGGGAGAGGGCAGGAAAATCACAGTGGACTGACAGTCACAGTTTGCTTCCCATTTTATCTCCTCTGCTTGGGCAGGAACGTAATCAGCGCCGGGCCCTTTCTCTGCACAGGCAGTATGGGAAAGCCTCGCGGGGTTGAGAGACTCCAGCAGCCACTGAACTTGTATTAGCACGTGTGGGTGGGCAGAAGTTTGGATCCGCACTCAAAATACTTCCTCTGATAAGCAGCTGCTGTCATGGAAATGAAAGCTTGTCCAACTGTTCGGCTGTTCTTTGGGGTCTTCCGAGCTGTCCTGGGATGAGCGTTCCGTGGTCAAAGGCAATACTAACTAGAAGCGAGTGTGTTCCATGGGTCCCTTCCTGTGCTGTAAAGGGTTTGAACAACAGGGGCCTCTGAACCTGGAGACTAAATCCAGCAGAGGTGGGTAGAAATTAAAAAAGCTAATCGTAGAGCTGTGCAAGAAAAAGAGCTGAGTGTTGATTATTTGTTGTGGTCTAAAATGGGATAATTTGGGCAGCTGCAGTAAGGGTCTGATGTAAGTCGTATGAATGGCTAAAATAAACATGTTTCTTAGAGGCAGAATTGAAGTAACATAAAGGCACTGAAACTTGAGTCCCACGACTAAATGTTAAGTCTTTTTCCATCCCAGATGGAGCCACGTGAGGTATGTTGGTCATACGTTTAGCATCCCATAAAAATAAAATCTGTGCTTTATTTCTCACCAGATTTTTCTGCGTGCAGTAAATACTCTTTGTGGCTGTGCCACAGATTTTAGATGCCTAACATGGTAATTTTAACTTCCAGATATGTACTTGACAGCCTTGCTGTAACTCTGCCTTGTATTAACTGTGTTACCCATCACTCTTACTCGGAGCGACCTGTGAACTGCAGGTTCTACTCATGCCTTATGCTACAGGTCCTCTGTTAATTGCAGTGGGAATAATACTATATACACCATGCAGAGCTGTAAATATGGCCAGGGGAGGGTGTTTTAATTATAAGGCTTTGTAGATCTTTTGCAAAAATCTCGTGCCTGGAAAGTGTACTGTAAAATAATGAATAGTATTGAAGCTTCCATCCTGAAAATGCATAAGCATTAGAGAGTGTTACTTATTCAGAATGGTTTTATGCATATTAACTAACCCTTGCAACGATGTGGGGACGTGTGTGGTTTATAGTTGCTATGGCACGTGAAGAGGAAGAGAATGGTCAGATAACCTTTCCGAAGGGAGTCGCACTTGGAACTCTTGATGTGTAAAAGCGAGAATCTGGGGCTTCGTGATGCACCTGAGGTGGAAAGGGACGCCTGTGTCACAGCTAGGGTACGAGCCCGGAGTTCTGCTCTTGCGCACAGGCTTCATTAGTGATATTGTTTGTAAGTCACAAATTTCCTCCTGAAATGTCTACATCGAAGGGAGTCAGCTTTGCATAGGTCTGTTTGGTCCCCACGTCACGTTCTGCCAGGTAGCCTTCTCTCGGAGGGCCGTGTGGTGCTTCCAGTTCACTCAGAGGTGGTGTGTGCCAGCAGACAGGTCATACGCAGCTGTGCCCGCAGAACGCCTTGTCTGCTTGCCAAGTGCTTGCATCAACATCCAAAAAAATCCAGATGTTGCGGCAAATTCCAAGAAACCCAGTTCTGATTAGGGTTGATGGTTAATCATATATTTACAAGAAGGAATTAATTGTCGTGATTGTTTTACTAGGATTGAAGAGAATCACCTAATTTTTCTAGCTAACTCAAAGCTCCTTTAGAAGGAGCTTTGAAGGAAGAACTCTTTCAAAGCTCTTCAGTAAGGGTATAACCCTTTCACTTGCTCAACGCGGTCGCGCAGCCTGGCTTGACGAGCGGTTTTGCCAGAGCCCTGCAGGTACGGAGGGACAGATCTGAGTCTGTTCAAGATGTGATTACTCAGTCAGGTGACAAGTGGTCACTGCCAAATGGACAGAACGAGCTAATGATTTTGTGTCAGCGTGAGACATGGCTCTGCCGCCTGGTATTTCTGACTCCCCTGCGTCTAGCCCTCTGCTAGCTTTCTAGGCGCATTCCTTGATGCCAGCTCTTTTGCACGATTGACTTTCTCGGTGGGTCCCTGCTAGCCTTGCCTTCTGCTCCTGCTGGCGGTTGCTGTTGAGTACTAGAAGGCAGCACAACTGGGCAGGGCCATCGAGCGTTTCTGCCCCTGTCTGGGCTGCGCTGGTCACAAAGGTGGTGGGTTTCGCTGCTCGGGATCCTTACCTGGCTGCAATTGCAGACCTCATGTCATTCTCAAGCATCAGTCTCTTCTCCCAAGGAACAGGCGATAGGACGAGAGGAAATGGCCTCAAGTTGTGCCGGGGGATGGTTTAGATTGGATGTTAGGAAAAATTTCTTAACTGAAAGGGTTGTCAAACATTGGAAGAGGCTGCCCAGGGCAGTGGTGGAGTAGCCATCCCTGGAGGGATTTAAAAGATATGTAGACGCTGAGCTGGGTGGTCACCTCTGCTCCGCAATCTGCCGGGACCGCTGTTTTTTGGAAGAAATCCTCAGCTATTGTCAGCTGCACGTGTTGGTGAAACGTGCTCTGGCAGTAACGGCGAAGGAGGACTGGAGGGGCGGGAGCTGCCATCCCGTGGGGTTTGCTCGCAGAGCCCTGGTTGTACCCGGCATCTGCGGGAGGAGAGAGGAGGATGGCGGCAGGATGGGACCCGTGTGCGTCAGGGGACCAGATGTGAGAGCAGGGTGGGCTGAGGCAGCTCAGCTGCTGCTGAGGAACGAGGGGGCCGTGTCCCTCGGGCTAGTCTCTGCTTACACAGAATTTGCTACTTGTATACAAGATCACTTTTTGGATCAGAGGGAGAAATAACTTTTTTTTTTCCTCTCCTGTTTTTGACCTAAAAATCCATGTGCTGCTATGTTTCTCTCTCCTCCTCTCTCCCCATCCTAGCAGGATTTGCTTGCTATCAGGGAGCTGTTTTGGGGCACATTCTTATGCCAAGCTTCACAAAGTCAGCAGGCATCCAAGGGGGGTGGCAGTGGGGGGGAGCGCAGAGGGGGTGCTGGGGCTCCCACCGCTCCTGGCTGGCGGGGCATCGCAGACTGGCGCTGGCCATGGCGGAGGCTGAGGCAGCGTGTTGTGTTTGGGAATTGAGTATGACATGGATGTGAGAGCTCCGTCTGCAGCATGGGAAAATAGTAATTAAGGAGTGGCTGAGGTGGGACTGGAGAGGTGGTGGCTGCTGCCAAGTCCTTTGTCACAGTGCTGCCAGTACGGGTTGTACAGGTGCTCGAAGAGGTCCATGCATGTCATTCTGCCTGTTCGAAGGGAGGATGGCTCTGCCGAGGCTCAGTCCCTGTGGTGTCGTTGCTGTCTAGCACAGCTTGTCTGTGGTTTTGTGGTGCTGGGAGTGACCTGAACTAAGGAGCATCAGGGTTTTTGTGGGGCTGGTTCTGGCTCTGGATGTTTGCCTTGAGGACGGGAACAGGGGCCATCGTGGCTGCCGGCGTGCAGAGCGGGAGCTTGCTGGGAGAGGAGAGAGGAGCGACCAGGAGAGGTGGTGGGCTGGGAAGTGGCTGCTGAAGACGCTGTGGGAGGTGCGGCAGACTGCCGGTGCGCACAGTCCCCTACTCTGCCATGAACCTTTATCATAACCGTAGCCCAGTAAAACATTATAAGGAGACTTCAAACTAGCAGAGGCGTTTGCTCCCGTTGCTTAGTGTCTGAGCAGCTTGAGCTGATGCTGGAGAGCTGCAGGCGGAGGCTGCCTCTCCTGCCGTGCTGCGCTCTGCGGCGCTGTGGGTCGGTGGTTGCAGTCATCAGTCTGGATCATCAGTCTGGTGTAATAGGAGAGAGGATGAAAGTTGATTAAATTATGGATTACAAATACGGAATTAAGTCCGCTTGCAAGGAGTCTTTGCCTTCCATGAGGCCATTAATCTGTAATTGTCTGACAAGTGATTTCTGTGAATACTTGCAACTTTTAGGTGGTCACTGAAGAGTTCCTGGTATTTTTTCCCCTGGTTTGTTTGCGTGACTACTTGGGAAAGTTTTGCTGCATGGTTATAATATAAAAATAATGAACAAATAATGACTAGTGGATAATACACGTGTTCAAACACAGAAACACTCATTCAGTGCAAAACCCAACTGCATTACAAGAGTCACCGAAAATAAAAATTATCTGGTATTGCCTGAGAAAATCCTCATTAGTAATTGCAGTTTGGCTTGGAAGGAAAAGTACTTTTAAGTAGGGCTGGGCAAGATCTTTATCGTCAAAACCAGATGTCAGTGTCATAGGACAAACGAGCAGGAGTTGGTGTTGGACTCCTTCCGGCCAGAGGCCGCCGTGCCCCAGGGCGGGTGTCTGGCGGGGCGCGGGGGCGGAGGCGGCATCTGGAGCTCGCATCCTTTCCCCGCAGCCATTTCCCTGCCCTGTTTGCCCTTCAAAACTCCTGCCTGAACCGAGATCACTGCTTTTACCTTTACCAGTCCAGGTGTTGCCGCCTTCCTGCCTCCCGGAAAGGTCTCGGTATTTTTGTGAAATCAGCGTGAAAGCGTGAAAGCGGCGGCGTTACCGTTCGGGAGCGGGAGGCGGTGTGGAGC